CCGCCGCTGTCATTTAGCACCCCCTGAACACATGCAGAACGTGACAGAATGTCCTGCTGTGTTAAAGCAAGCTAGTGGGGTGGGTCCTTGCACTTTGAGGGCGCCAAACTGTGTGCCAATTTTATTTCCTCTTTCTTAAGTTGTAAGACACCGCTGGGGTCGAGGAGGTCTGAAACACTTGTTTCATTTTGCATTTAGATTAAAGGTTGTTTCAGAAAGGTCCCCCCCCCCACACACACACACACACACACACACAAATAAAACAAAAAACACGGAGAACATCCTGGAGTGTTATTGTGTTGTCCTGGAGCCTTACATTTATTTATTTGTTATATTTTGTTCTGTGTGTGTGTGTGTGTGTGTGTGTGTGTGTGTGTGTGTGTGTGTGTGTGTGTGTGTGTGTGTGTGTGTGTGTGTGTGTGTGTGGTGGGGAACGAAAAGAGTGTTTTTGTTTGCTTTATTCATATTGTCATTCCTAATTCCATGTCACTTTAGATTAATTATAATCCAAGCTAGAATTTTTATGCAAATGTCCTTGATCTGGATTACTTCCAGATAGCTTGTGTGTGTGTGTGTGTGCGTGTGTGTGTGTGTGTGTGTGTGTGTGTGTGTGTGTGTGTGTGTGTGCGTGCGTGCATGCGTGTGTGTGTGTGTGTGTGTGTGTGTGTGTGTGTGTGTGTGTGGACGACACATGCCGCCTCCGTAGCTCAGGGGCCCACTTCTTATAAATAAGCGACCAAACAAAGGCTCGAGCCTGTCAGACAGACGTCTCTACCTGCTTACATTTTGGGGAAAATGACTCCTTATTCCTGCAGTCGGAGGTTTAACATTATGTGTTGTGCCATTTTGTGTTGCCGGGATCACAAACGTAATCCGATGCTAAATATTCCACATCCGCTCGGTCACATTCGGTTTGCCATACTCTTTGTTTGTGCATGCATCTTGCAAATGTGACAAACTTGAGAGCGGCGATGTGCGGCTTTTCAGTCGTAGAGGAGATTACAATACATTAAAGCTATTAGCATGTTTAATTACAAGCCTACAGCAGTCCCTTTGTGCATGTGTGTTTGCGTTGTAATGACAGCTTGTTGAATGTCTCTGACAATTTGTCAAATGTGACAAGGCCACGCTCATATTTATCTCTCATTAGAGTGCTAGGTGGAGATGGAAAAGGAAGGCTAGTCATTAAAAAAACCACAAACTACAGTAGACAGCTGCTATTTAATTGCCTTTCTTTTCCATTCCCCCTCTCTCCATCTGACTGCGCCTCTCTCTGTTTTTACTCCTTCCAAGTCTATTTCTTTGTGTACTTCCCTCCGGCTAGAGATCTGGGCCTGCTGAGTGCTTCGGTGGGAGTTCGAGGTTCAGAGTGTGTTGCTGTAATGTTATCAGGTGACCGGAGGTCAGCCTAATGCGTAACCCCAGAGCAGTAGGCCAGTAAATCATGCTGGTCGGCTCTCCCTGGCCCGCTTTGGCCAGCTCTCCCCTCCTAGATTTACTGCTCCGTAACGCTGGCCAGTCTGCCAGGGATCAGGACAACTAAATTGAATACTAAATCCAAGCGACGCCCAGCCTCCTGCCTCTGTTTGTTGTGTGTTTGGGAGATTGTTGTACGTGAAAAAACAGAAATAGAATGAACAGAAACAGCATTTTTCTGCTTGTTGAAATAATGTAAAACACTAAAACGTCTCCAAAAAGACACTTCCTTGATGATAACGGCGTTGATTTTATGTAAAGGCGTTGTTGGAAAGATGTGAGAATTCAATAAGATACTTTCTCATGTAAAAATTTAATTTGATTGAATCAAGTTCCCTCCGCTGTTCTGAGATCAATTAAAGAGGAAAACACACACTAGCTAAGCTATGAATTTCTCAAACACCCTTTATATCTCCTTCCTGGTACTCGCTCCATTTTTTCTTCGTTTTTGCCCCTTCTGGTCTATTGCTCTGTGATTCCCTTGATTTGACCCCCCCCCCCCCCCCCCCCCCCCCTTTGCATAAGCACAAGTGTGCAGCTCCATAAAGGCCAATGACAGTTGCAAATAAAGATGGGTGGTGTGTGTTCCCCTGTCTCCCTCAGCAATGCAAAAGGGTTTGAGTGTCATAAATCACCTTTTGATTTATCTAATCAAGCAAGGCCCTTTTCTGTGCAGACATTTGTCATTGGTGGTGTTTCAAGGGAGATGGTGAGGACTGGAGGGGGTAGTTTCATTTTTTTTAACTCTTCCACTTTATTTGGTGAGTGGATGGAGGGAAGGAGGCGGGAGACGGGGAAGAGTAGGCGGGGGGGGGGAGGACAGTCATTAAACATGGGTTGCAGACTTCGAGACAAAGGAAAATAGAGGAGTTTTCTGACTCTGCTCTTCTTTTGACTATTTATGCCATAATGGAGGAGAAAGAACAGTCAAATGGTTAAAGAGACAATTGGCTTGCTTTAACGCCCCCTAGTGTCCTTTTTAAATCACTGCGCTCCTGCTTTTCTAACCAGCTGATCACATATTAACTCATTCACTGCCATTGACGACTAAAGTCGTCATTTTAGATCCAACCATTCATTTTTTTACTGTTTGAGCATCAGAACGATCCCCCGCGCTGAGAGAACAAACATCTCAGCCCAGAAGCCGATCTTCATCTGCATACATCACACGTCACATGATCAGGAAGCAGACCATCCATGTGTTAGGAGATCGTTTTGGGCCGTTCCTGTAAAAAAAGTGAGGCGCGAACCGGAAAAGCGTCTGCCGATCACAATTCGACAACGGATTATGAAAGAACGGATAACGCTCGAAACACGCAGATTCTTCCTGATGTAAGAGGTGAGTCTCCGCTTTGTTTTGGTTGTTTTGGCATCGACATCATCCTAGCGCGCAACGTTCTGTGACTCTTAAAAAAACAGTAAAAACTGTGAGAAACGCTGGCAGCGAAGGCCGTTAGCGATCAGGAAACGGCTGGCAGTGAATGAGTTAAAGCTGCACTAATCTCGGGCTCACCATGGGGGGGCATCAGCGGTGCAAACGCTGCTTCAGAGAGAATCCATTATAGTCTTTGGGGTGGATCCAAACAGGCCAGGGCACAAATCTTTTCAGGCAGCGGCTTGTTGCGCCACAAAATATTGAATTAGATCGCTTTTTGCTACAAGCCTCTTCTGGGATGCGTCAAGTTCTACAATTAACGTCGGGCTAGACAGAAAATCACTCACGGTATCAGTGTAAAACGTCAGGGAATTTTCAAAATAAAAGTCTGTTGCAGAGATGTGATGCCTTATGTTGATAACATCTATAAGTGTGTTCTCACGGCTTTGTGACTGCCAGTATTTTTCGAGAAGCGCAATGGTGTGTTTTCCTTTATGGACGTAATGGCGGACGAAGTCTCGAGGGATTTGGTGAGTTTGTGAGGAGAGCAGAGATGTGGCGCTGCTTGCTATGTGGATTGACACGCCTTGAAAAACCGTCCTGCTACCCTCCACGCCGCTGTTGGGCAGCAGTAGCTCAACAGGTTGAGCGGGTTGTCCAGTAATCGGAAGGTTGCAGGTTCGATCCCGGCTCCGGACAGAGAATTCTGCTGTTGTGTCCTTGGGCAAGACACTTAACCCACCTTGCCTGCTGGTGGTGGTCGGAGGGACCGGTGGCGCCTGTGCTCGGCAGCCTCGCCTCTGTCAGTGTACCCCAGGGCAGCTGTGGCTACATCGTAGCTCATCACCATCAGTGTGTGAATGTGTGTGTGAATGGATGAATGATACACTGTAGTGTAAAGCGCTTTGGAGTCCTTACTCTGAGAGGCGCTATACAAGTGCGGGTCATTTATCATGATGCCCCCAGTGGGGTCACAAGTGCAGTAGCATGATCGCGAGACCTGGATCCAATTTAAATCCTTAGTTGTCTCTGACAAACACTTTCCCCATGTTGACTCTTGTTTGATCCCTCCGTCAGTCAGACAATCTTTTTTTCTCGTTAGCTTCATCAGATAAAGGTTGTCGTTGTCTCTTCGGAGGCTCTGCCACGATGAGCACGATACAATAAACGCCAACCATCTCTAGCTTGATATTTCTGGGGTGGAAACATGGATTACTGTAAAGCTGTCTCACGAGATGCGTGACTTTGCGAGTGTCCAGGTCCCCGGTTCAGGCGAGACTCAAGTTGCACAGGCGGTATTCTCCCCAAAAGTCTACTCGTTCACACACAAAGGGTAATTTTAGCACCTAATGGCTCAAGAAAAGAATTAAAAATGTGACAAAGTTACTTATTGCACCTTTAAATGCATGCATAAAGGGATTTGTGTAAACGTCAGTGTGACATTTTATCTTTAGAGTATTTTCTGCAGTTTCAATGTGCCTCTAAACAGTTGTTGGGACTCTCAGTGTTCAGCATCTGTTTTTCTTCATTGGACTTTTATAAATGTTGATAAAAGCATTAAGTCAAAGACACATACGCAGCAGAAGGACAGGTCTTCATGTTGCACACCCGTAGCAACAACAAAACGAGCTGCACAGACGTACATTTACATTTGGCGTGACAGTAATCAATGGTGATGTGCGGGCCCTTTCCCCCGCTGCATTGTAAATGTGTGTGCAGCCTCTTGTCCGACAATCGCCTCATCTCCTTTCTCAGGGATGTAATTTAGTTGCAAATTGACTGGAAGACGGAGGCAAAAATTGAAAGTTGAAATTAGAAATGGTTATAATAAATACGGGAGGCGGGATGCAGGCTTTGGTACGGTCAGGTGATGTGATGGGTGATTCTAGTCTGGCCCAATCTGACCAATGGAGTATTAGACTCCTGACAGGAGGCCTACACACACACACACACACACATATGCACGTAGACACACACATGCAAGCCTGCAGGGGCTATCACAGCCAGTGGAAGACAAAATTACCTCGCTCTTCTGAGCTGCAGCGCAATTCTCGGATGTTCTTGGAAATTCACATTGTGCCCTTGTGGTTTTTTTTTCCTCTCTCATCTCTTTCTTTCCTCCTTCCCTCCCTCCTTCTCTCTTGTCACTTTCCTTGACAGGCCAATATTTCAGGCTCCAGATATAGGGGATTACAAATAAAATAAGTGGAACGCCTACTTAATGCAACAGAATTAAAATGCATGAACGGGCCAGAGGGATTGATACGCGTCCAATACAAACACGAGCCGTGGAATAATATGAAATACAAAATGTTTTTTTTTTCTTTTTTCAACCCCTCTCTCCATGTATCAGTGCTTTGATTTCCCTTTTTTTTTCATTTGTGCATCTAGCGTGAAGCGTTGATTCGCAAGAGTGAGGCTCACATATTGCCTTGAGTGACCAGACGAAGGAGGGGACGCAGGAGAGGCAGAGTGAGAGGAAGGCAGGGGGGGGGGGGGGGGGGGGGGGGCTGATGGCTTAGAGAGAGAGGGAGGGAACGAGGGAGGGAGAGTTGCTGTTGCTGTGTCTTTGTGTTGAGCAGAGTGGGTAAATTGCAGTGGCAGAGTATAGCCGGGCCTGCACGGCTTGTATCTTAGGACGAGGCTAATGAAAGATTTATCAGTGGCTGCAGCATTTACTAAATACAACCAGAGGCTGATCTCTCCACAGTGAGCCCTGCTGTTAATGTCTCACACACACACACACACACACACACAAACACACACATACACACTTGCAGGCAAACATATAAATAGACACACACTGCTACTGTACCACCAGCCGTGACCAAGCCCTGAAAATGTAGCATCTTACCCAGACAGAGGAGTTGTGGAGGCAGGCGGGCAAATGTATATGAACTAATGAAGTGTATAATATTACCATAACATTTAATGTATGTCGTGCTGTGATAATGAGCCTGCCCGAGTTTTTCCCATTTTACATGTCCTCAGGGCAGAACCACGTCACTGTATATGAATATGAATTACACAGTTCACGCTTGTATCCATGCTAATGTTGTCTTAGAGTCGAATCACTTTCGGAATCATCACCTCTGCCCCACTGAATGTTAATTTGCGGTACTCATTTATGCCATTTGCGGAATTATTTGTAAATCAATAATCATTCCGTCTGTTTCTGATGTAAAGCACACTCCAAATGTCACATTTTCAGTGTGTTAGCGCAGATATTTGTTTAGGATTTGCACATAGAGTAGTGATCCGGTAACAGCCATGAAACCATTGGCATTTTTTAGATTTAGCAGCTTTGATTTCTGTGAATTATTAATGCAAGGCCTCATGTGAAATAACAAATCCCATCTTAGATTCTACAAATGTGATTTAACTTTATGTTTAACATATTTTCTCTCCTAGGAGGAGGTGTCATGTCCAAAGAGGTAACTGGGCCAAACGCTACAGTTAAACATTCCCTCCTGCCCGATCGACAAATTGAAAGTCCACCCAAAAGGCCAAAGTCTGCCGAGGGGAAAACCTCTGGCAATGACCAGGTAAGGGTTAGTAGAAAATCAATAGCAAGCTGCCAGTTATCATGGTGTGCTTCCAAGCAACTTAAAGATAGTTTATTCTTTGGTGCACAGCTTTACCGCCTAGCCAAATAAGGTGTGTTGTGGGGTTTTGTGTGTATCTGTCTGGAGTAAAACTTTTGCTCTGAATATTAACTACTTGGTGGAATTTGTCGTTGCACATACACTGAGCTAATAACTAATGAGGCACGTTCATGAGCACTAATGAAATCTAACCTTCACTGTCACTGTGGGATGAGCTAATGGGAAGATACTTCTCTCTACGAAGCAAAAATGCTAAGCCAAGCATTTAGCAGATGCTGGCGCCAGCTTTCATTGAAAGGGTTAAATGCATCCCACCGTTCCCTCTGTGACAGAGCTTTTTAACATCAAGCACGAAAGCCAGCCTTTGTGTTCTTAAGTGGAGTACCAGCAGTAGCCTAAGGCCTCCCTCCCTGCTTCTTTTTCCCTTTTTTGCATCTCTTTAAATTATATGTGTTTTTAAATTAGATTATGAAGTATTAGCTGGTCTGGTTCGGGGCCCTTGCAAGGAGGGAGGACGTAGTCATTTCAGAAATGGATTCTATTAAAACAGGTGGTAGCACGTCAGCTGTGTTCGGAGTACTTCGTGTAATGAGTGCAAGACTTCGGTTTGGAGGTTACGCGCCTTTATCGTCTGTAATCTCGTGATTAGAAATTCTGGCTGATCATGATTTCAACTAATAAAATTGCATGACTTTAGAGACCTAAGTGAATTATATAAAAAAAATTGTTGATCTAGATTTTGTTTGGTGGGGGGAGGTGATGTCAGTGTTAGCATGAGGTGGGTCAACACGAATTGTAAAGTTTTAATTTGATTTTGCAGATATGGGGAAAGTTTGGTGGTTGAATATCTTGATAAAACTTTGTTGCAATCCAAAAATGATGCATCTTTACTCCTGCTAAAACCAGGTATTCTGTTTTTGTTTTGTTTTCTAGGTTCAGCAATGTCCTTATTGCAACTACAGCAGTAAAGATGCCAACCGTATGCAGCTCCATGTGATGTCCCAGCATTCCATGCAGCCAGTAATCCGCTGTCCATTATGCCAGGATGTCCTAAGCAACAAAATTCATTTGCAGCTGCATCTCACACACCTTCACAGTGTGGCTCCCGACTGTGTGGAGAAGTTGATTCTAACGGTAGGAATAATTCATTGATTTGAGTATGAACTCTGTCTGTCCATCATACATTTATGCAATACTTACGGTGTTTCTTTTGGCCTAATAGGTTGTTGGACCTGATACAGCCTCTACAAATAGTGGAATGCATCCCCAGTCTGGACAGGGGAAAGCTCAGGCTTTAACCGATTCCCCTATGTCTCTCGCTGATGGGTCAGGAAGTTTCCAAGGTGAGCAAACATAGCAATTGAACCATGTTGGTCAACCAAAACAAGAATAATTGTTTGAGAGGTCGCTGGGAAATACATTGTAAACTATTATCTTCCTCTCATAGGAAACCTTTTAAAGGACGAGCTGTCTAGTCAAGAGAAGAATGATGATCAGCAAGACGAAGAACTCAAACCCCCAAAGGAGGCCTCAGAAGCCCCAGACTGGAAGAGAACCACTGGGCAAGGGCATGACAGCAAATCGCCTGATAATCTACATGATCATCTCAGTGAGCTCCAAAAACTCCAACAGCAACAACAGCAGCTCTCTGTGTCTGATCGTCACGTCTATAAATATCGTTGCAACCACTGCAGCCTGGCCTTTAAGACGATGCAGAAGCTTCAGATACATTCTCAGTACCATGCCATCAGAGCAGCCACCATGTGCAGCCTTTGTCAACGCAGCTTTAGGACATTCCTAGCCCTCCGAAAGCATCTGGAGAATGGACATCCAGAGCTTACTGAGGCGGAGGTGCAGCAACTAATCGGAAACCTGCCACTGAATGGTGACATCACTGAGAGTGAGGCCAGGGCCCTGGAGGAAGCGCAGGGCTTTGAACACGACTTGGACAAAGATGATGAAATGGACCAAGAAGAGAGACCCAGTCCTACAGGAAGTGACAGTAGCTCTCTACTAGATGACATGGGTGCAGAACCCAAACGGACTTTACCATTTAGAAAAGGACCCAACTTTACAATGGAGAAATTTTTGGATCCTTCTCGACCTTATAAGTGTACAGTTTGTAAAGAGTCCTTTACCCAGAAGAACATCTTGCTGGTACACTATAATTCTGTTTCCCATTTACATAAACTAAAGAAGGTTCTTCAAGAGGCATCAAGTCCTGTTCCACAGGAGACGACCAATAGCATTGATAACAAACCATTTAAATGCAATATTTGTAATGTTGCCTACAGCCAAAGCTCAACACTTGAAATCCACATGAGGTCAGTCCTCCACCAGACCAAAGCAAGAACAGCCAAAACTGATGCGAGCAGCGGCAGTATCACTGCAGGTAGTGGTCCATCACCTACAAAAAGTCCAGGCCCAAGTGCTCAAGGAAATGCTATCACCTCAGACACTGCTAGAAGTGGCACACCCTCTTCGAACAAAGAAAACTATGTAGAACCCAAAGAACCAAGCAACAGCAACACCACAAAACAAACCGCAACTACTGACCATGTTTCAGCGCAGACAAGCAGCCACCAGTCAGCCCAGTCCGCCAGCCAGCTGCAGTTGCAACTGCAGCATGAACTCCAGCAACAGGCTGCTTTCTTTCAGCCTCAGTTCCTCAACCCAGCTTTCTTCCCACATTTCCCAATGACCCCAGAAGCGCTGCTCCAATTTCAGCAGCCGCAATTTCTCTTCCCGTTTTATATACCGGGAGCAGAGTTCAATATTAATCCAGAACTTGCACTACACTCAGCGGCAGCTTTTGGGATGCCTGGGCTTACAGGATCATTTTTAGAGGACCTGAAACAGCAGATGCAACAGCAGCACCAGTTACAGCAGGCTCAAGCCCAACAACAGGCTCAGCAACAACAGAATCAAGCCTCTCATATACAGTCACAAATTCAACAGAAAAACCAGCAAATGCAGAACCACAAATCCAAATTAGAGCCTAACCCTGTGTCTGTTTCAGAAATGCAGATGTCAATGGAGGCAGAAGACCATTTAGAAAAACACGAAAGCAGGACAAAGATGGAAAGTTCAGGAGATGTTATGAGTGATAATGCAAAAGACAACAAAGACACTAAAAAGTCAAAATTCTCGGAGCCATTGATCCCTCCTCCGCGGATTGTGTCAGGAGCGCGGGGTAATGCAGCCAAAGCATTATTGGAGAACTTTGGATTTGAGTTGGTCATCCAGTACAATGAAAACAGACAGAAAAATCAAAAGAAGAATAAAGAAGGAATTGAACACGTGGAGATGAACACTGATAAGCTTGAGTGTGGGATGTGTGGAAAGCTGTTCTCCAATATGCTAATTCTCAAAAGCCATCAGGAACATGTGCACAGCCACTTTTTCCCATATGTAGAGCTTGAAAAGTTTGCCCAGCAGTACAGAGAGGCCTATGATAAACTTTATCCAATAAACCCTTCTTCACCTGAGACTCCTCCACCTCCACCACCACCTCCTCCTCCACCACCCCCTACCGCTCCAGCTCCTGTATCTACTCCACAGCCCTCGACTACATCAATCAACAAGCCTCAAACACCAGCGCCTTCTCCAGTTTCTGTTTCCCATCAAGCTGCACATACACCCTCCCTTCAAACCCAGCAACCCCAGCCGCCACCCCCTCCTCCACCACCTACTGCCCCTCCTGCGCCACCCCAAGTCCAGCTCCCTGTTCCTTTAGATCTGCCACTTTTCCCACCTTTAATGATGCAGTCTGTCCAGCACCCGGGCCTACCCCCTCAGTTGGCCTTGCAACTACCCACAATGGACTCACTTTCCACAGACCTTACACAGCTCTGCCAGCAGCAGTTGGGTCTCGATCCAAACTTCCTCCGCCAGTCTCAGTTTAAGCGTCCACGCACCCGTATAACTGATGAGCAACTTAAAATTCTCCGTGCAAACTTTGATATCAACAATTCTCCCAATGAAGAGCAAATTCAAGAGATGTCAGAAAAGTCTGGTCTGCCCCAGAAAGTAATAAAGCACTGGTTCCGTAACACCCTGTTCAAGGAAAGGCAGAGAAGTAAAGACTCTCCCTACAATTTCAACATTCCTCCCATTACTACATTGGAAGATATTAGAATGGAGCCCCAGCTCAGTGCCCACGAGTACTATAGAACGGACTCAGCCATCAACAAGAGGTCCTCTAGAACAAGATTCACTGATTACCAATTGAGGGTCCTTCAAGATTTCTTTGACACTAATGCCTATCCAAAGGATGATGAGATTGAGCAGCTCTCAACTGTACTCAACTTGCCAACACGAGTTATTGTGGTGTGGTTCCAAAATGCTCGCCAGAAAGCGCGTAAGAGCTATGAGAACCAGGCAGATTCTAAGGACAGTGAGAAAAAGGAGCTGACCAATGAACGATATATCAGAACCAGCAGCATGCAGTACCAATGTAAAAAGTGCAACATCGTGTTCCCAAGAATCTTTGACCTTATCACTCACCAGAAAAAACTGTGCTATAAAGATGAAGATGAGGAGATAGAGGAGAACACTTGTGAGGAATACGCAGATATAATGGACCAAGTTCCAATCAAGGGTTTCCATGTACCTTTAGAGTTAACAAAACAATCACATGCAGGGACTGCCACCAGTTCGGGTTCAAGCTCCCCTGTGATGGCCTCTCCCCGTACTACTGTGGGCAAAGCTTCCCCTAAGCCTGATATTGCTACTGAAACCGACCTAAAACAAGCTGAAACTGCCCCCTCGCCAGTAATGAAGTCACTACCAGAACCTAGACCTTCTAAGGCTTGTACACCTCAACCACCTCCTCAGAAAGTTCCTCAACCACAATTGTCCAGACCACATTCCCAGCCTCAGGCAGCTACAGTGCCCTCAAGTCCACTTTCCCTGGCACTTTCCTCACTCACAAACAGTCTGCCCCACCAAATGCTTCAGTACCAGTGTGATCAATGTAAGATTGCATTCCCAACTGTTGAGCTGTGGCAGGAGCACCAGCACATGCATTTCTTGGCTGCCCAAAACCAATTCCTTCATTCCCAGTTCCTTGAAAGACCCATTGACATGCCATATATGATATTTGACCCCAACAACCCCCTCATGGCAAGCCAGTTGCTATCTGGTGGGCTCTCTCAAATGCCCTCTCAGAGTAGCTCTAGTATGCCATCAGCTACAAGCTCTGGAGCAATGAAGAGAAAACTGGATGAGAAGGAGGAAACTTCTAATGATAAAGACGGTGGAAACAGCAGTGAAGAACAACACAGAGATAAACGTTTAAGAACCACCATCACACCAGAGCAATTAGAGATCCTTTATGACAAATATCTTCTGGACTCTAACCCAACAAGGAAGATGCTGGACCACATTGCTCGAGAGGTTGGTTTGAAAAAGAGAGTTGTGCAAGTTTGGTTCCAAAACACTCGAGCCAGAGAGAGAAAGGGGCAATTTAGGGCTATCGGCCCCTCCCAGTCTCACAAGAAATGCCCTTTTTGTAGAGCACTGTTCAAGGCTAAGTCTGCTCTAGATAGCCACATACGATCAAGACACTGGCACGAGGCTAAACAAGCAGGCTTTAGCTTACCACCAAGCCCAATGATGAATCAAGACAATGAAAGAGGTGAAAGCCCAAATAAGTTTAATTTTTTTGACTACCCACAGCTACCTACTAAGACTGAGCCCAATGAGTATGACATGCCTGCTGCATCCTCAACCCCCGTCAAACCATCTGAGGCACAAGTAAAAAACTTCTTAAGCCCTTCATCCTTAAAAGCTGAAAACTGCGATGAATCTGAAGGGCCTACAAATAATTCAGCAGATGTTTCATCTTATGATCTCAGTAAGATGGACTTTGATGAAACATCATCAATCAACACAGCCATTAGCGATGCTACAACTGGAGATGAGTGTAATAACAATGAAGTTGAGAGCCTAACTGCCAATGGAGGAGACAAGCTTGGTGACAACAAAAAAGGCTTGATGCTAAATTCTGATGCTGGCAATGAGAGGTTCCAGTTCAGCATGGTGAGTCCTTCCCTAAGTTTCTCTGGAAAGGACTGTGACTCCTACTACAGTTCACGAGATGACGACATGGATGAACTCAATGACAGGAGTGAATCATCAAGCCTTGCTGATCCCAGTTCTCCTAGTCCCTTTGGGACAGGAAACCCGTTTAACAAATCTGGGAAAGTCAACAGTGCAGGGGAAAGACCAGGCCACAAACGTTTCAGGACCCAAATGAGCAACCTACAACTTAAAGTCCTCAAAGCTTGTTTTAGTGACTATCGCACTCCTACAATGCAAGAGTGTGAGATGCTGGGCAATGAGATTGGACTTCCAAAACGTGTCGTCCAGGTGTGGTTCCAGAATGCCCGTGCTAAAGAAAAGAAATTCAAGATCAACATCGGAAAGCCATTCATGATAAGTCAAGGTTCACCGGAAGGACCCAGGAGTGAGTGTACACTCTGTGGTGTAAAGTACACTGCCCGGATGTCTGTAAGAGACCACATCTTCTCTAAGCAGCACATCACCAAAGTGCAAGAAACTCTGGGAAACCAGGTGGACAGAGAAAAGGACTACCTAGCACCAACCACTGTTCGTCAGCTGATGGCCCAGCAAGAGCTAGACCGAATGAAAAAAGCCGGTGAGGGTCTCAGTCTGCCTAGCCAGCAGCAACAGACTTCAGTGGATAACAACAGTGCACTTCATGGCCTCAGCCTACCCTCAGGCTATCCAGGATTATCTGGCCTTCCACCAGTGTTACTTCCTGGAGTAAACGGGCCATCATCGCTTCCTGTTTTTCCACCCAACACACCTGGTGAGTTAGTATGACAAACAGTGAAAAAAACTGACTAGAAGCTTTAAGAACTGAAATTTTATCATGCACTGTTTTATTCTACTATATTACTGTTTATTCTGTATTACAGTACTGTTTTTTCAAAAGTCTAATTTTGTAAAACTTTTAAAGATTTTAAAGAATGGTGGTAGTAAGTGAATGCATAATGTTAGCCTCAAATATTGAACGGCTAATTATATGTTTTGAGATTTATTCATTATTTTATTATTATTATTTACAAATTATCCATGACTTGTATTTTGTTTTACCTTGTTTCCCCTTCTGTTTTAGGTTGCTTATATTTTTTCTTTAATATATTGAGGAATTTATCATAAAGCGCATGTGACAGTTTTGATCCATAACAAAATTTTAATCACTCAGCCAGTGACAGCATATTTATCTTAGACAAAAACATTTCCAAAGTGATTTGGGGTTGAATATTTAAATATTGAACATTTCCATATTTATATACCACTGTATTTCAGCTTTAGCGTCTCCCGGTGCGGGCATGCTTGGGTTCCCTACACCAGCCACCCCCTCTCCTGCCATGTCTCTCAGCACTACCCCAACCAAGACTCTTCTGCAGACTCCTCCTCCTCCTCCTCCACCTCCTCCTCCTCCTGTTCCCTCCACACCTTTGGCAACAGTAAACCACACAGAGCAGCATGGCAAAAACTCAGAGAGAGACAGCATCAAGAAACCAGGGGACAAGCAACCTCAAACGAAGGTGAAGGACAGAGAGAATGAGAGTGGCTCACGCCCTGACACCCCCAGCATGGCCAAAGCAAGGGAGAAACAATGTCAGCCTCCAGGGAAACCAGGAAGTGAGACTTCCTTGGATGCTTCTCAACTTCAGGCACTGCAGAATGCTCTCGCTGCAAGCGATCCCAGCTCTTTACTGGGGGGACAGTTTTTGCCCTACTTTCTCCCTGGATTTCCCAATTGCTTTTCTCCACAGCTCACCAGAGGGGTTCAGACAGGGGGCTATTTTCCACCACTGTGCGGAATGGAGAGCCTGTTTCCATATGGCCCAGCAGCAGTCCCACAAGCTGCCATGGCCGCTGGTCTCTCCCCAACTGCGCTCCTGCAACAGTACCAGCAGTACCACCAATCCCTCCAGGATTCACTGCAGAAGCAGCAACAGCAGCAACAGAAACAGCAAGAGCAGCAGCAGAGACAACTTGAACTGAAGCAGCAACAGAGACCAACCCCCTTGAAGACATCTCAGAGCATCCAGAGCACTACAACTAACTCCTTCAAACCAAAAGAAGCTAAAGAAGCTAAGGATGACAACAACCAAGGCTCTTCAACAGAAAGCACAAAAGAAGAACCGAAAACAGAAACCAAAAGTACCATGGATTTTCCAGATGCTTTTATTGTACCATCCATCAAGCATGAGTTTATATGCAGGAAGTGCCAGATGATTTTTGCTGACGAAGATTCAGTGGTACGTCATCAGAAGTCCTTCTGTTACTTCGGACATCCTTTTACTGACCCGCAAGAAACAGTGCTTCGAAAAGCAGTGAGCAACTACACTTGTGTTGCCTGCAATGTGGTTGTTAATGGGAATGAAGCACTTGGCCAACATCTTCAGTCGAGCTTGCACAAAGAGAAAACAATCAAACAAGCAATGAGAAATGCCAAAGAGCATACTAGATTATTACCTCACTCTGTTTGCTCCCCTACTCCTAACACCACATCTACCTCGCAGTCTGCAGCTTCTTCTAATAACACCTTTCCTCATCTCTCTCGCTTGTCCATGAAGTCCTGGCCAAATGTTCTGTTCCAGGCCACCACAGCCCGGAAAGCTGCTTCCTCTTCCCCGTCTGTCTCTCCCCCTCCTCCCCTTTCCTCACCCTCAACGGTTACCTCAACTTCCTGCAGCACCTCAGGGGTTCCAACCTCACTACCCACCGAGAGTTGTTCAGATGAGTCTGACAATGAGCTAAGCCAGAAGCTGGATGACTTAGATAATGCGTTGGAAGTCAAGGCTAAGACTGCCTCTGGCCTAGACGCGAGCTTCAATAGTATCAGAATGGATATGTTCAGTGTGTAGGTGTGACAACAGGATCCCTTGCTTAAAGAAAAAAGTAAGACTTTTTAAACTGCAGTTCCAAAGTTTCTCTTAACCCAAAAAAATTACAGTACCAAATGATTGACTCAGGATTGTTTTTCCCATATTGATATGCTGGCAAGATATTGATTGATTTTTGTTATGGACAGAACTGTTGCAGATGCTTGACTGAGCTTATATTGTATACAAAAACATGGAGTAGGAAAAAATCTCACAGGTTCCCTTGGGGGAGCTTGTTTCAAGCCAAAAACTCTCACGATAGCAAATTGCACCTCAGCTGGATTGTTTTCCAAATGCTAGCATGTACTGTATGGGATGATGATCCAGAACCCTCGAAGAGAATCTCTCTTAGTTTAGATAGGTGTAATTCAGTAGCTTTAAATTCTCAGGTCAGAACATAACATTTCTCATTTGTTAAAGCAGCACCAAGCCTGGGTACACTTGGCTTATAACCAAAACATGTCAAGCTTTATCGGACGCATTTCCTTGATGTGAATAGAGTACCAAGAGACAATTTTACTGTTACAATGGACAATGTGCATACACTTTTAGTTTTGCTCTACAAAGACAGTATGGTTTTGCCACTGAGGGAATTTAGAATGGTGAAGTAAATGTGTATGATGCCCCTGTGTTTGCCAGTTTGTATTACAACAAGCTCTATCTATTTCCCAACCCCTTATTTTTTTTTGTAGTATATACTAATCTGTGCCAACTCTTACCTTCTCACTTTAACCTCTACTCACACCCTTTTCTGAAGAGGTAATAACTGTAGTTTTGATAGACTCGGATTATGTGAATATAACATTTTTCATTTGTGAATTGCTGTACTGTTACGGTACCTGCTTGTGTCTGAACTATAGTGCACTTAATTTGTTTTTATTTGTTTTTTTTTTATTATTTGAGTAGGCCATTTGTTAATTTAATAGAATTTTCTGATTGTTTGTATGTACGTATGTAGATATGTATGTGTTTTAATTATTATTTGTGTCTGTTGCAGCAGCATATTGGTCCACATTTGTTACAGGATTAATGCCTAACAATCCAGAGACCTATTTAAAAATTGGTGCATCAAAGAAAGCAGTACTGTATACTTGAAACTGTTAAGGTACAAGTTGGTCACAATGTTAAGAAAGAAAAGGTATATTAATTTGTTATGCGATGGCAAATTAGCTGCTTTAAGAGGGGGATAACAGCATTTGTGATTTAATATTAAATTGATGTTAACATTTTTATGTACTTGCAGGATTTAAAACAGTGTTAAACCTAAATGCAGCCGTTTGGTGCATAGGTTGACATCTTCTCAATAATTTTCTGGGCACTTCTGATTTTTCCACAGTTAAATTCAACATTGCAGTTTTCCCACTTTTAATGGTTTCACTGATTTCATTGCAGAGTATTACCTTACAACATTTGCTGCTACTGTGTAATGTTAATTTGCCTGCCATGGATTCCCTCAACTTTCAAACAGACGAAATACCAAACCGTTGCTTGCTTTAGCTTTTTTTTTTTTTTTTTTTTTTTTTTTTGTCTTTTTCTTTGTGGAACTAAGAATGTGAAAGCTTTTAAAAGGGTGTTCAATTTTTACAAATCACTTTCTAGTTTGGTAACCAGTGTGACTCATTCCAAAGTAACAGAAGGCTATTTGTATGAAAGAAAAAGGCTTGTGAACAAAGAAAGCTGAGCTGTTGTACATATTCGTAGTTGGCTGTGCATGGTACAAATTTATTAATATGAAGAAATGCAAAAATGTATTGCTTTTGGTATTTCCTATTCTGAAATGAGCAAGTAGCATGTAATGCAACTGTTTGACAGGTTAAATCAAATCATGCTTCGTTATTGTTTCAAACAATAAAATCAATTGACATTTGTTTTTGTTTTTTTTATTGTAAAGGTGTTTTTTTTATTTTAAGCAATACATCTGTTTTTAATTTACTGTGTGAGCTTTTTAAATGTCATTATTTAGATTTTTAGTATTTTACATTTACTTTATTCCTGAAGACACTTTTTGATTGTGTTTCATGTGAGACATCCTGGCCTCCCAAGGTGCAATTCTGCCATTGTACAAATGTAAGCGACTGTCCTGATTCCAAAGGCTTTCACAACTCTGGCTTTTTGCCTTTTCCCACTTTGTGGCTCAGCATTAAAAGACTGAACTGTCAGCTAGCATCGTGTGCTAAGATGCTAGCAGCAGACAGGACACTTCCCACACGAAGGACTGGTAAAAGCTATGAAACCAACTAAAAGGATGGTCCAACAATATAACTGTACATATATATTGCAACTGCACAGCAGCCAAAAAGAAAAAAAAAAAGAACATTTTTTTTAAGAAAACGGATGGATTGTGTCATGTTTATCGGGACAGCCTTCAAAAGGTTGAAATTGGAATTGCTCTTCTGGATGTGAAAGGGATTTTCATGGCGCAGTCATATCCTACACAATATGTACTCTACAACATCTGGGTTACATAGGAAATGCACCCTGAGGTTTTAATAAGAAGAAGCCCCTATGGCTAAAACTTTAAATAAACTAAACCAAAAATGTTATTGATGTTTTATATATAGAGAGTAGTCGCATTAGTTTTTGTTACTGTACTGTTTGAGGTCTCAACTGTACCGTATCACGGTAATAACATGGTTTTGAAACTTTTTTTTAATTTTGTCACAGACCTGTTGTCATAGTTGAAATGACGTTTATTGTAGATGGTATTTGAACAACTTCTGGAAATAGTTCATCAAGTATGTTTGTTGCTCATTGTTGTGATACATTAAAAACTGTATCTGCAAACCAGTTTGGTCTCAACAAATCGTTCATTTTACAGCAGTTTCTTGTTTCTAGCATCAAAATGTGTTTTTCATCATTTGATCAGATTGACTTTCTAGTTTCCAATCTCAGAAGCCTGTTAGAATCATCAGCACCAACGACACAAACAGGGAGCTGAGTAGTGGGAGGGACTAGGGACCCATGTGACCTTCATGGGTTCTTGTAACATTGGCCTCATCAGGGACTCTTATTGGCTTGTCGTTTACATGCACATCTAAGTCAATCTAATGTAATAAACTGGGAGCCTTTATCTTAGTTTACATGTACGTTAGAAAATCTAATTCTCAAATGAAGTTCATTCCACTCCGGTGCTTTAGGTGGCGACATGCGTCATTTCAGCATTCTTCTGATTAGCTTAAAGCAACACAGACTGTAAACAAATTGGTGGGAGTGAAGCAGACAAAGTTCAAACAGAATATGAACAATGGCTGGAGGAATGGACAGCAACGCTGCAGCACAGCTTGTTTGGTACGTACGGTGTTTGACGGTGTGTTACTTTGTAGCGATATTATCAGAAAAATCGCCTCAGTGGTCTCATCACATCCAGATGTTACCAGTATTGGCTCGACGGACCTGTTTACACGCAGATCAGGTCGGTTTCCTACTGCAGTAGAACCAGTTTGTCTTCAGCAAGACTTAACACATTTATAACGGGACGACGGTGGCACAGGAGTTAAGTGCTCGCTCCGTAATCGGAAGGTTGCAGGTTTGAGCCCCACTCAGTCTGTCGCTGTCTTGTGTCCTTGAGCAAGACACTTAACCCACCTTGTCTGCTGGTGGTGGTCGGAGGGACCGGAGGCGCCAGTGTTCGGCAGCCTCGCCTCTGTCAGTGCCCCCCTGGGCAGCTGCGGCTACATTGTAGCTCATCCCCACCAGCGTGTGAATGTGTGTGTGAATGGGTGAATGACTGATTGTGTTGTAAAGTGCCTTGGGGGGTTCCAGGACCCTAGAAGGCGCTATATCAAATACAGGCCATTTACCATAACCATTAAAAACAACAGCCCAGTCTGTTTAGGGCATTAGTTAAGTTTTGTTTCAGACCACACCGGATAAGCCGCCTCCTCCAAACGCAAGTTTTGGAACTGAAGGTTTTGAGATGAGGCAAAACTCCAAGGATAACAGAAAAAGTCCAGTTGTTTCCTACTAAAATTTCAAGGTTACATCCAGAATAATGACGGTTCCGATTTTTCCATTTTTAGCTTTTCTTCACTTCCCGTAAAGATTCAAATTGCATGCAAATCCAACCAATCTCAAACTACAGTAAATAACCTATTACCTTTTATCAGTCAGCATGTTTGTGCTCCATGAGCAAATTTTACTTGTTACCAGAATTTTAAAATTCAACTTCTTTTTCAGGTATGCACTGAATATACCAAGGAATTTTTTTAAAAACTCAGTATGTGGAATTTTAACACAATTATATTCAACAGAAACGATTATATCTGTTTATTATTTGTAATATAAATTTTTCATACACTTGCATGTTTTATTTTGTTTTTAAATAGTGTCTCTGAACAACACTCCACATGGCCTTTAAGGTTAAAATACCCACCACATAAAAAATATCAGTGGAATTTTGACTGAGGACTAACAAAGAATTGTTCATGCATCCAAAATGTGTTTAACTCAAGGGATGAACCAGGGGTTTGTCACCATTTCCTAAATTTGTGTCAACTTTTATCAATTTTTTCGACCACCAATCTGGTTTTTCAATGTCCTGATTTTTAAATAAATATCCATTTTACAGTAGATATTGTTCATATATTTTTTTAGATTGGCTGCTTTTTAATTTCTCTTCCACGTGTCCAGTCTCCCAAGTCTTTTAATAACGCAGTGCACACTATATGAAGTGTACGGCTAAACTTTAGGTAATCGTTTTTTGGGGGCTCTCCCTGTTGGTAGAAAAATACAATTTCATGCTTGTCAGATTGTGTTACCTTTAGCTCTTCTTTTCATTGGTTCAGTTGGAATTGGAACAATTCTTTTACAACTTGTGCTATAAAAACCTGGGATACAATTATAAATCGATTATTTACCAAGTTAAATCCAGATGCAACAGTAGATTGCATCTTGAATTTTGTGCATTTTTCCCACTTTAATAACTTGTGGCGTAATTTCAAGTGACCAAATAAAAGAGCGTTTATTAGAAAAGGGTCTTGTACAAAGAGAAGATGGATAGTTGGGTACAAAAGCAGCCATCCAAAGATACTGACCATGATGAAACCTCCACTGTCAAAACTTTAAGAGCATTGATGCCACGAACAATTTCAGGGTAACAGTGAAAGAGAATTTGCATATAAGTTTATAGAAAATAAACCTTAAATTCAAATCTGACGTCTTTAAAGAAATTCTTACAATTTAATAAATCCACAAGTTAAAAATTATTAATTCAACAACAACCCAAGTTAAAAATCTTAGACAGCCCTAATTTGGCCAGTTTTTGCTGTGCAGGTGATAGTTGTCCTGTTTCATGGCATTCCAGTAATTTGACACATATGGAAGAACTTTTGTGATTAGCATTAATTTCCTGGGCACTGTAACTTCAAACAAGCAGAGACATCACTTGTTTTACCAGCTTTGGGAATTCAGGTATGTGTGCTGATTGGCTGTTTTTTGTGGGTCATGGCAATTTACAGAACATCAGGGTCTCGTTATAGCAAAGAGGTGTTTAGCTTGATTTCTGACTGAGAAAGCTCGGAGTTTACATATCTTCTCATGTCTCATCCTGTTGGTCCAACAGGATGGACTTGCGACCATAGGATCCAACCCCCCCCCATCACCCCCAATCACCAGTTGACAAATTAGGTTTAAAGTTAAATGAATGGAAGTCCTGTGGTTTGCACTAATAACGTTGGAAACTAAAACCATACAGATACATTTTTGTCTTTTTGGGGAAAAAAAATATCTAAGCCAGAAACCCTTCCAAAAACTCATATTTTCTGTCTATGTCTAATTTCACTGGCAAAATGAGGCCTGTATAGTATGACATTTAGCTGAATGTATTTTCTTATCATTCTATAATATAACTAGGGATGTACAGATGGATCGGCATTTGATCCCAATCGGCCGATTGCGCCCCTATCGGCTTTGATCGGAGTTTTCAAAATAGATCAAAGCAGACCGATCAGGTAGGGTTGTCACGGTAACCGGTGTAGCGGTAAACCCTGGTAAAAACAGTTGACAATAATAATAGCCATCTTCTTTTAAAAAAAAACTATATTATCTCGGTGGGTTTACCGTGGCTGCGGTGTAGGCCCGGTGACCCTTACCAGCCACCGTATCATCTGCTGAAGTTGCCGGTGTCACATGCGCACTTTGTTGTTTACAGCCAAAACTTTCTTGAAGCTAAAGCTGAAATAATGGCCAAAGGAGGAGATGGCAGCGCTCAGGAGGACATTTTTTATCCCTCAAAGAAGACTAAGTCGGAAGTACGGGCATCTTTTGGATATTTGAAGAATGTCGAGGGACAGTTTATAGAAGACGGCTATCCTGTTTGCAGCACGTGCACAAAAAGTGTCTGTGAAAGGCAGCAACGCTTCAAATCTCATGACACATCTGCGTGACCATCACTCAACTCTACAGTCAACGCAAGGCAAGCTAACGTTAGCATTTTAGCTAAAATGCGTGATCCGAGGATTTGGGTTGAGGGAGAATGCAACGAGTCGCTATATAAAGCAGCCGTAGCGCCCGCTACCTGCATATAAACCGTGTCGTGGACACCCCCATGTTGAAATGACGCTATGCATTACGGGGCTCCCAGGGGCAGATAAGAGTTGGTCTCTCTCCGAGAATAATTATGAATTTAACAATGATTACTGCCTGATGACATTTTCCCAAATCTGCAAAGCTCACTGGAAGGACACAAACCAAGGACAATTTTTTCCTGGTATAGGGTTTATTACTCAAGTAAGGGTAAAAAAGTATCTGATAAGAAGGCTACTTGAGTACTGAGTATCATCTGATCTAATATTTTTAAAATGATGACATCAAACAGACATAAAATAAGATGTTATGGGCAAATATTGGTATTTTAAAGACTAAAGGGAAAAAATTTAAACAAATAAACAACATAATTACAAAATAACACATTTTAGGCAAAATTTAGACACAAACTGAGGACAATATTTCGTGACATACAGGGTTTATTTAATTGTGTGAAAATGTAGCACGTTTAAAAAAATACTGCGATAGTGGTAGCTAGCTCTGTGGTCACGTGGGTCTGATGCTCATTAATTAGTCAGAATTTTAGGCTTTTAATACACTTAAACAGAAGAGTGACAAAAAATTCACCCCCCTCAGAGTTGGCATGAGTATAAACTAGATCTATTAAACCTAAAACATGTTTTGGTACCAGGCTGTAAACATGTTTATTTCTGCTGTGAAATTGGTATTTTTAACATGGGAGTCAATGAGGATTTGCTCGCTTCTGACACCAGCCCCCAGCGGATGAGGCTGGAACAGCAATTTATTTCACTTCTGCATTGGCCTCACTTCCAGACCCGAATTGTGGGGGCTTGGTCTCTACTCTGGTTTGGATTACCCCGGTCTGGACTGAGTGTCATTCAGGGATTCCATTGCTCTTCTAGGAAGTTTAATGTCCACATGTGCAATGGCAGAGATACCTGGAAGAGTGTGGTTGGGTGGAACAGATTTCTTTTTTTTTTTTTTTTTTTGCTGCGGGACACACGCAGCAGGATATATGCTCGATTCCTGAAAGAAGTGGAATGTCATCTGTCTCTCTCAGCTGTCCATTGAGGACGTCGAAGATGTGTGGATATTTGGCCTGATAATCACTGGATTTCTTCTGATTGGAGTGGGAGGATATCTGGTTTTCCGAAAAATTGGGATGACGGGAGCGATTGGAGGGCGACCCGCACCCATGGACGGCACCGTCTGGGTGGAGACCTCACAGACTGGGACGTTACTCGAGGTGAATCGCAAGCTGGACAATGTCTTAGCTGCGTTAC